TCACAAGCCACTCACGCATCTCAATGCAAACTCAGGGAGCTCAGCCCAAAACACTTTCATATATTAAAATAGAGTGGTGAACAAGATTAACCAATAAAACAGGTATAAACCATGACTGAGGATAAAGCTTTCTATCAAAACAAATGTGAGGATAAATACCCCTGAGGGTCCAAACAGTACGATACAAGGCCCCAAACATGGAATTCAGTCCAAGTTAACAGAATCATTTCTAAAACGCATAGATATCATATAAAGTTTATCAAAATATGCAACTCTACAGTTGCCACGGGATGGACCAAGTCACAATCCCTATGGGTTCACGCCCACACGCCCGTCACCTAGCATGTGCGTCACCTCATTTATCAAAATAGTATGAAATTTTGGGGTTTCATACCCTCAGGTCTAGATTTACAATTGTTACTTACCTCAAACCGGATGAAAATCTACTCCGCAATGCCCTTTCCTCTCGACTCGGCCTCAAATCGCCCTGAATCTATCCAAAATCAAAATCATAACATCAATACATTCCAAAGAAACAAAGCCCACGCGAAAATTATCAAATCAAATCAAAATTCCCGGAATTGGCCAAACTCGAACTCCGGGCCTACGCCTCGAAATTTGATAAAAATCACGAAACTAGAATCTTTATCCTCTCACGAGTCTATACATATCAAAATCATCAAAATTGGACCTCAAATCCCCAACTTAAACTCTCCAATTTCAAGCCCTAATCTCCCAATTTCATCCCTAATTTTTCCACAAATTCCATGATTAAACAACGGGAAGTCATCACATATATAAGTATTAGGGCTCCAGTCACTCACCTTGTTGTTAACCCTTGAATCCCTTCTCAAAATCGCACTCAAAAGCTTCAATGTCGTCCAAAAATGGTGAGAAATAAGCTGAAAATCGCGAAGGAGAACATATATACTTTCTGCCCAAGGATTCCGCACCTACCGACAATTTCCCATACCTGCGGACTCGCACCTGCAAAAATCACTTAAAGGACCGGGACTGCATCTGCGCTAGTCACCGCACCTGCGGTGCCGCAGATGCGCCCAAATAACTGCATCTGTGATTCTTCTCCTGATGTCCCAAACACGCACCTGCGATCTCCTTGCCGCATCTGCATCCTCGCACCTGCGGTCCCCAATCCGCAGGTGCGGTTATTACAGGAGCAGCAAAATCTGCTGCATCAACTTGGTTCAAATCCTTCCGTCAACCATCCAAATCCATCCCACGGCCCTTGGAACCTCAACCAAACATACCAACAAGTCCCATATTATCATTCGAATTTATACCAAACTTCGAAACAGTCAAAACAACATCGAAACACCAAATCACCTCGGATTCAAGCCTAAGGATTTTCAAACTTTCGAATTCCGCAAAAGATGCAAAAACCTATCAAACCTCATCCGAATAACCTGAAATTTTGCACACATGTCAAAAATGACACAAGGGACCTACTCCAATTTTCGAAATTCCATTTCGACCCCGATATCAAGATTTCCACTATCGATCGGAAGGCTCTAAATTTCCAATTTCGTCAATTCAAGCCTAAATCTACCACATACCTCCAAATTACATTCCGAACACGCTCCTAAGTCCAAAATAACCTAACGAAGCTATCTGAATCATTGTCTGAATTCACATCCGAGATTTTCTACACATAAGACAACATCCGATTGACTTTTCCAACTTAAGCTTCCAAATAAGAAACTAAGTGTCTCATTCCACTCCAAATCACTCCGAACACAGAACGACCAACACGATATGACGAAATACAGCTAAACAACACATAAAGAAGCAGAAATGGGGAAAGCGGGGTTGTAACTCATGAAACGACAGGGCGGGTCGTTACAGTTTTAGTAATTATTGCTAAATTAAGTTTTAGTAATTAACTTTCACGTGCGTAACTATTACCTAATTAAAAAATTCTTTTGTGCATCATGCATAATACACACGTATACTAAGTGGGCGTTTGGACATAAGAATTGTAAAATTTCAAAAAAAAAATTAAGTGAAAATGATCTTTGAAAATTAGAGTTGTGTTTGGACAAGACTATTATTTTGGGTTGTTTTTGAAGTTTTGTGAATGATTTTAGTGAAAAAATTTTGAAAAACAACTTTTTGGAGTTTTTCAAGTTTTTTATAAAACTCTAAAATTCATTTTCAAGTGAAAATTGAAAATTTTATAGCTAAACACTGATTTTTCGAAAAAAAAAAGTAAAAAGATTTTATGTCCAACCGGCTCTAAATCTAGTCTAAATAAAAAATATAATGAGGGATATAATTAAATAACTTGTATTAGTACCCGCGGGATGCGCGGACACAAATCGTGTTAAATTGTGATGTAGGTTGTTTGAATCATGTGCAAATAACCTTAAAATATAAACCTCTCAGATAAAAATTATATAATATTAGATATTAATTATGAAGTAGGATATGAAATTATTGTTCAAATCTCATAGTGCATAACCTATTATATATATATATATATATATATATATATATATATATGTAGCAACCTAACCCCTTGATTTTAGTCTTGCATTTCGTTTCGCTGTCAATATTAAAAAATACTAAACATAACATGTTGTGATCTATCTTGTTTGAGCACAATAGATCATATTATTTTAACAAACTTCTTGCTATCCCTTTGTTTTTATCTAAAAGTTAAATATGTCTTATTCATCACATTATTTGTACACAAAATTCTTTTTTCTTTTGTTTTTTTCTTATAGTTATTGTATTATTTATTATTTAATATTATTATACTATTATATAATATTTTATTAGCTTAATAATTAGATTAATGTCTTGCTTATTATTCTTTTAATAGTCTTTAATAAATAGAAATGTTTTATTCTTGAAATTTGGTATATTTTTTATTCTTGTATCGTCTCATTCGAAATTTTAATCAATTAAATTTATTGTAATATTATTAAATATAACTTCATTTTTCAATTTATTTATTTTTAAATTAATTTAATGTATAAGCTCTATTATTATACATTCTCTTCCCTACTATAAAGTTTAGTTAGTTTTTACATTATGTTTTACCTATAACCAAAATAGGATCATATTTTATTTTAAAAATTAAAATTGATGTAGGCTAAAATATTAATACATAAGTTATTTGATGATTATGTTCCAAATGTATCGAGTTCTATTATAATTATTTTTTATTTAGATGCAGTTAAATTCCTTTTTTTTTTTTGTTTTAGCTTTAAGATATAAATTTAATATTTAATTTTCATTATTAAAATTACCTATATTAGAAAGTTATTTTATATTCTTAAAATTTTATTTTAACATTAGAAAAATAATTTCTTAATTGCTTGAACATATTATATGTATGTAGTAATATGTTTACTGTCATTTTATTTCTTTCCGTAATTATTTCCAAAATAAAAAAATTATGTCTCAAATACAAATAATTCTTATCATTCTATTTTCTAAATTATGCTATGCTTTCAAACATATACTAACTGCACTTAATTGAGAAATTAATCATAGAAAAATATTTTCTTAGTTGTTTGAACACATTATATCTAAATGTTGTAGTAATATTTTCACTGTCACATTATTTCTTATGTAAATTTTCTTTCTTTTTAGCTTTAATACAAATTTAATTTTTAGTTTTCATTAGTATAATTACCTATATTAGAAATTTATTTTATATTTTAGTTATTTTTTTCATAAATAAGACTTCAAGTTCATGATAGTATTCATATTTGAGCATTCTAATCATAGTTTTAACAACTTTCTAATTTCGAATTCAATTAGCCTTTTCTTTTCATTTCTAATACTAAATTTTTAATAATTTAACATAATATTGCTAATTTTTTAAGTATTTTATATTTAATTTTAACAACTTTCTAATTTCAAATTCAATTAGCCTTTCCCTTTCTAATTTTAAGTTTGTATATTTAATTTATTTTATTTTCTAACCTTATGATATATAAATATCCTCACATTATCTCTAATTTATTTCTATTGTTCAATATTTTTATTTTTTGATTTTATCTATTAAACTTGAGTTACGTGGACCTATTCATATTATGACTTTTCTTATCGAAATATAAAAACTTTTTCATCTAAAATTAAAATTTTACCATTTTTTTTCTATGATAAAAAATCTAAGAAAAATTTCTCTATTTATTTTTTATTTTTAATATTATATTATTCAATACCTAATATTATTACATTGTCATGTGGATTTTTATAAGCTTCTTAGAATTTAATATCTATTTCTACCACATTCAATTCTAATATAATATAAATAAAAATTTAAACACTTTCTCAAATTCAAATAAGTTCTATTATTCTATTTTCTAAATTTGATTGCATTTTCAAAAAATTATGTTATGCTTTCAAACTTAAACTAACTGCACTCAATTCAAACATTAATCACAAAATAATATTTTCTTAATTGTTTGAACCATTATATCTTCGGCCAGGTCTGGACATATCTAAAGTCTCTACCTAAAGTCGACTGGTTTTAATGAGGTCACCGACTTTCTAGATTTCACCGGCATTTGAAGGCCCACCGGTAAGGATTCTACCTCGACAGAACAATGACGGGGAGAAGGGGGAGGGTAAATGGTGATTGTGATTGAAGGGGAGGTTGCCGCCTAATTGGTCAGCACCCCCAAAGGTGGCGATTGGTGTCAATGCAGCGGTAGAAATGGAGGGAGAGAGGAGCCGACAGCTGCTATGTCAAAATGACTAAATGAGGGAGGAGATGGTAAAGAAGGGTTCTTTTCTTTCTTTAAATGTATTTTCTTTTTGTTAATTACACGTGTCAAATTTTTATGGCAAAACTACACGTGTCATTTTTTGATTGGTCCATTTGACATGTCATTGACAAGTGCAATTCAGCACATGGCCTGCTGTACTCGGGAATTTACTTGACCTACTTAATAGCCACTTGAAGTGTTAAATTGAAATATGGCTCGGTTGAGATGTTCGATTGAAATATGCAAGAAACTTCAATCTCAACTGCTGAAAACAATAACAAATACGGTGCAGATTTTGAAGCCATAAAAGTCACAAAAATTAACATCATGATGAAGTTGTACATCTTACATGATCCAAGGAACCTCTGATCATTCCTACCTAAGTCTCTATATTCTTGGATATTGATGTACTCAAGCTTGCAGTCGTTCAATTCCTCCTCTGCAGTACATAGATATTAGAAGTTAATTTCCAGCAAGTTTCCTCCTCACAAAATAAACTTATGACCATAAACAAAAGATAGAGATCAAATTATAAGCTACTACAAATTAAATGGACAAATAAGCTCCATTTTAACCACGACTATTACAGNATAACAATTTTACTGCTTCAGGACACAAGGTTGTTCACTATACATACAAAGTCAGGGAAGAGTGGAGGGTTGTGAAGCATTGAAAATAACCACAGAACTCAGGGGCCAACAATTTCCGTTCAATTAAATTATTGAGCCGAGTAAAAACAAGATAATTAGCAACCATTCCAGAATATCAACATTTTATGCATTCACTAGCTCGATCATCACCTAAATGGGAATGGACAAGATTTATATATGTCTAGGGCAATTATTACATCACAGCAACGGCGAGGATTCATATATAACTCTCTCGTGCAGATCTAAACTTCGTATTCTGAAAGACTGACAAACCAAGGATATATCCAATCTCCCTAAACAATTACCTTACGCTTCTTCTGTTGTTTGATTCCAGCGCTGCTGTTATCAAAGTTTGCTGATTGTTCAGAAGCATCCCCTAAAGGCAAACTTTTTATCTCGTCATAGAAACTATCTGTCAGCCCAAGCAACCTAGCATAGTTAAAGGGAAGAGATTAGCATCCACTTAGTCCATTTAACAAAAAACAGAGCTCCACCTAATCTGCCGGCACTCTCCAGACTATGCATACATTAAGTTTCTACATGAAATGATCAAAAGACTGACCATAAAGTGCTTTTCTTTTTAATTAGTAAGACTGACCATACAGTTCCTACAAAACTTACCCATTTCTTGACTTCTTCAGATGTTTCATTTTCTTTTTTTCCATCTTTGTGAGTGGGGCACGAGCAAAAGTCTCCTCTTCTTGTCGTGCACGTTCTTCCATTTTAGCCATGTACTCTCTGAGTTCTCTACTTTCAGTTCCAACAACTTCTCTTACCTGTATTTTCCACCGAAAGCAATAGTAAAATACAGGAGGGGTCATTGAAATATATCAGTATTAATAGTCAGATAGTGAATTACCTCTTCGGGTCTACCTTCAAGATTATTCACCAAATCTATCATAAACGGGTTTTGTCTAGCCTTTCGCAAGTCCATTGTCTCCTTCCTCGATTTATTTCTCTCCTGCCTCGACATTTTATCTTCTTCCATAGGAGCAGGTACAAGTTTGGGGGGTCTATATACATTGCTGCCATCCTGTAGCTCAAGACAAGAAACATTCAACCATCTCTTTTATTTTAGGAAATCATATGGGAGATTGAGAGAGTAAAATCATAACTTCAACTTTTTGAACTGCTAATGATCGAGTCAACTCTTTGAACAGGAAGAGCAAAAAGGAACTAAAATGGTCATTTCATGGTCAAGTACCAATCACCCACCTCTGTGCCACGTGTTTTACTAACAAGCAAATCAGGATTTGGACGATACTTCAACAGGTCCTCCTTCTGGGTATCTGTTCCCTTCTCACTTATAACTGACTTCTCAGAAGCAGCATCACTATCTCTTGTGAGCTTCTGAATTTGATACTGTAGTTTCTTGTCGATGGGGCGAATCTGCACAGAGCATCACGGTAAGGACGCTGCAATTAGGAGCAGAAAAGTACCCAAGAGGAGCTGGAGAGACAGGATTACTCAAAAGCGGGAAGAGCTTCAACATACCTTCTCCAAAAACAATCTTATCTCGACTAGACTCCGAATAACTGGATGCCCTTCAATTGAGAATCCTTTTGCCTTGCGGAGCAGATAATAGACAAGCGATTGGCAATAATTCAGAAGTAGCAGATGCTTCGTTTCAAGGTAACTTATTCCTTCTGGTGTTGGAAAGTGACCCGCTTTCACCTAAAGACAAATTGCATGGGGATTTTGGAAGAAGAAACAAGCATATCAATTTGACATAGTGATATCTTTTTCTTTCCTACACAGAGAGCACGAGAATAAATACAAGGCATACTACGGAAATTGATCCAGCAGTTCACAATTTTATTTTCTTTGTTTTTTTGGGTTTATTTTTTTTGTTAATCAGTGAGTACCCAGCAGTTCAATATTATCTGTGACCCAGTTGACCTAGACAGGAACGCTATGTCATTTGAAAACTAAGCAAGTACTGCAATATAGCAAAGAGTTGGTTTATTGATACAGGCAGTTTGGGATGATTAGACATAGACGAGAAGTAACATAAAACCAACATGAGTACTAACTGGGAAGATCATTTATAAGCGGTGCTAACATCTATCACGTGGCCAGTCCGTACAGTTAGAAGATCCAACAAGTATAGTTGCTTAAACGAGAAAATGTTGGGATCAGCCTTTCTGCCCTTCCAAAGGTAGAGGTAAGGCTGCGTACATCTTACCCTCCCCAGACCCCACTTGTGGGAAAATGCTGGGTTTTTTGTTGTTGCTGCGTAAACAGGAAAATGTTGGGTAACAGGCTCTAAGTCCATTTCATTCAAAAAATAAATAAGGTAAACTAACTATCAGTTATCTAAATTTCACACTTGTCCTAACTATATAAAAATCTCAATAGCAAGAACAAAAAGAATCCAGACAAATTATAAACCAAACGTAAGTGCATTAGCTGATTTTGAAGATAATATAATGAAGCTGCTTTGAAGAGAAAGGAAATCATATTTTGAAGACAAAAGCTAATGTCTACTGCATATATGAGTGGCAAACTGGCGGGTCGGGTCGGATATGGTTCGGGTCGAAAACAGGTATTGAAAAACGGATCAATTATCCTACCCGACTCATATTTAATACGGATAAAAAATGGGTTAACCGGCGGATAATATGGATTACCCATATTATCCATGACTTCTTGTATATGATCACTTTTGGGAGAATTCTTAGTCTCCCTAACTTGAGAAACCCCCAATTTGAGGCTTTATAAATGTAAAAGTTAGACCTATTGGTTATCCATTGGTTACTCATTGGTTATCCATTTTCTAAATGGATAATATGGTTCTTATCCATATTTGACCCGTTTTTAAAAAGTTCATTATTCAACCCATTTTTTAGTGGATAATATGGGTGGTTAACTGTTTTCTTTGAACCATTTTGCCACCCCTAACTGCATATCATCTTTTGGTGTAATTTAGAGCTAGTAAGTGATGTTGAACTTTGGTAGACTTTATTAGTTCCCTGCACAATTAGAAGGGAACTATGTTTTGGTTTCTATTTTTTCGGATGTAAACTAAAGCACCAATTTAGTGCTGATTTCATCGATAAAACCTACCTTTTGCTAAAAGAATATAAGTATATTGACAATAACTAATTAAACGTGACTATTTGGTAACCCATTTAGATTTTTTTTTTCTCCTAATGATGGTGTCCGGGCCAACTTGCAGGCATCTCTGCACAGGTATTGGGTAACTCTGTTCGTTAATACTTATAATGTTGAAAAAGAATCAACATTTTTTGTAATTTCACATGATTTCAGCACATCCCTAAGAGAGCCTGTAACCTTACCTCTTTATTTAAGTCTATAAATTGTTATTTTCTGACGAATTATCTATCAATAGTTAATTAACTATATCCATGAATAACAAACCACCGTTGTTGTTATTGTTGTTGTTGTTGAAGATAGTTATAGCTCGACAAAGACGTTAGTTGGCCTAAATTTGAGGGATTTCTACTATTTGAGCTTAATTCTAGTTTCCCAAAGTTAGATTGCTTTTCACATTAGCACCTATCTCTAGTACTCAGTTTAGAGGAAGTCGATAGGAAGTAACGCAGAGCTTTGTGCTGATCACCAATTTTGCAACTTGGGTTTTCCACAAGGATGTTATGAGGTAAAGGGGTCTTAAAGTTGTTCACTTTCCTCACTTTTGCATGACCTAAAGTTGAATTCAAAAGAGTGACAACATTCTTGAACTTGTGCTTCTCCAGTTTTTCTATAAAATAAATTCCCATACTGATTCTGATCATGGGGCTTAGATAAAAGACTAATAATTCTATGACAAGTTTCAAATGCAGCCTTGTTAACTACTTCTATTTCTTCCATTTCACCTCTCTCAACCCCCCAAAAACATAAAAATGAAAGGGAGAAAAGGAGGAAAAACAAAGAAAGCAGAAAATTCAATTCCTAAAATCAAAAGACTTGAACCCAAAACACAAACAACAACACCTACTACTACGCCTTAGTTCCAAACAAGTTAAGCTCCGCTGTATATGAATCCTCACTGCTCTCAACCGAAAAATAAAATACACCCCGTCAAAATATAGGATACAATCAACCTAAAAATTACGAGACAAAGGAAGGAAAACAGAAGCAATGGACATCATGATCACAATACCAGCTAAAATATCAAGATTGAACTATATGAACGAAATTACAGAAAATAAAACATACCCAGATGAGAAATCAGCATGAAAAAAGCAGTAATTGCATTGATAAAGGAAAAAAGCAATAACAATTGGATCTTTAAACATTTAAAAAAAATAAACCAACCTTTGCAGTTAAAGCTTGTACTTTTGAAGTCACTGTATCCAATCCTTCTTTCATCTCCTTTAATACTGTAACTAACTGAGGAGCTAGCCTGTATCATTCATTCACATTCAAAAATTTCAATATTATGTGCTCCATTATTACCAGAACCCTAAAATACCAACAAAAAAAGAGAAATCACCTGCTTATTTTTTCGCTCGTCTCAAGAGATGTATTAGGCTCTGCCATATTTCACTGTCGCTATTGCTGTGAAAAAGGTTCTCCGCTGGTAACAATGGCGGTTTCTTGTTAGAAGGAGATGAAGCTGAAATGCAGGTTTTTGATGGCAAAGCAGGTTTGTATTGGGACTATGTAATTGGGCTTGTCCATCCTTTTATGAGCCAAAGTCCACAAATAGCCATTTAAGGACCCATATTTAAATAATAGTCAAATTTTACAAAATTTCTAAAGTTTAATTAGGGTCGTGCATAATTTTACCGTATCGAAACTGAAAATTTTGGTATTTGGTATTCGGTATGGTATTTGGTTTAATTTTTAAAAAATAATTGGTATTAGGTATGGTATTAGGTATTTTAAAATGAAATACCGATACCGTACCGAAATATATATTATATTGCACAATACGCATATTATTAATTATAACATAAATATAAAAAATCTAAAATTTTGCTTTCTTTATTCTCTAAGTTCATCAAGTAACTCTAAGCAAGTAACAAGACATTTCTAACAATCAATTTATTCCTTTATGTACAATCTTCTCTCTCGTGGTTGATATTTACTGGTTTTGGATAAAACTTTTGTCAACAAACGTTTAGTTTTGTGCTTTTGAGTACTTTAATTAAGAATATTACATTCTATGACTCTACGCACAAGTTAGTATTCAAACCGAATAAACCGAAGTTACCGAACCGAACAAACCGAAACGAAAGGAGAAAAACCGAACCATACCGGATTTAATTAGGTACAGTATTGGTATAGCATTTTAATAAACCGAATACCGAAAATACCGAACCGAAATATGTAAATACTGTACCGTACCGACAGATGAACACCCCTAAGTTTAATCACCTCGCGTCTGAAGTTGAAAATAGATGGTCTGAAGTTTCCAGTGTCAGATCGATGGGTCTGAATTGCCAATAGCAGCGTCGGGCTGCTAAGTTGGTATGAAAGAACTGCTGCGCCGCGGGAAGTCCTTCTCTATACAAGTTCTCAGACGAGGTTTTTGAACATAACTTCGATAGGCGAGAGGTGTAAGCCCAACCCCAAAAGGTTCTCCCTCCTAATTATGGTAGTAGTAGTTGATTTGAGGATCTTATGCGGCGAAGCGGAGAAGGAGTAGGAGTAGGAGCTAGCTTTAGGGGCGGAATCAAATGATTACGAGAAACACAATGAGACAAAGGAGAGCACTTAGACAATTCACTTTGAACACTCCACTATAGGATGACAATCCTTCACTCAGAAAGGGTAGGTTCCACACCGACAAGACCTCCTATCCCAGAATCCGCTCATTTCACACCAACTAAAGCGGAACTTAATCACCAAGGTAGAGTTGTATAACAAAGTGGAAAACCCGCAATACGAGAGCAAAAACCTTCTGTGTCTAAGAAGAAAAGCAACATCGAGTTCTAAATTATCGATGCGGTCTGAAGTTAGACTTTGGCATAGCTCAACTTCATACCCCAAAGTTGGTATTTGAATTATCTATCTAAATTATATTAAAAGCACGAAAGCCCTTAGAGAAATGCCGTTCGCCTTTTTTTTACCCTTTTTAAAATAAAATTCACATCAGACAACATAGTCATTTGATTGTTTCCCTAGTATTTAAAAATAGTTATTTTATTAATTTCTACTATTTAGGAACAGTTATTTAATTACTCTTTTAATATGTATAAAATATTGATTTTATATATTTCTATTATATAGAAGAGCCAAGTTGGTCGGCTAAGGGCAAATTTGTAATTTCATCAACTGATTTTGTTTGTTTTGCCTAATCTCTTCCCTACATCTCAGCTGTCACACCTCCTTTTTCTACCCCAGAAGGGGCATATAAGGGAGTTTTTTCCAATTTAAGTGACAATCGAAACGGGATTATTTATATTAAAATTTAGCGACCCCACTTGGGATAATTTATGGTGTCCCAAGTCACCGGTTCAAATCCTGAATCGAGGAAAGATTGAATCTATTTTACAGTCCGCGAACACAGAAATCCGGGTAAGGAATTTTGTTAAACCGGGAGAATGTGTTAGGCATTCCCGAATTACGTGGTTTTAGCACGATCGCTCAACTACGAAATATTATGACTAATTAACAAAATAAGGTGATACACTCCCATTTTCTTTCATTTAACACCAAGTTTGTGGCCCAATCAACAGAATATCACTAATGACAATGCTCGTGGCCAAATATTATTAAAAGCTCTGCTAAACCAATACATCCCATTCAACTGAGGTAAAACAATCAATTAGAGTAGATCAACCAAAATGATTAAATAAATTAAAACCTCGGTTAATTCGGTGTATTAATTCAAACGAATTTCCTCCAAAACACAATCTAGCATATACACATTAACAACAGATCTGGTTTAACCAAATTGCATACAAATACACCAACGATTCAAGTTTTCAACTAATGGTCATGAAGTCTAACGTTTCTCAGTCAAATCAGAACATGAGGAAAGCGACTAAACTCATGAAACTCCAAGAGACTGGAGCAGCCATTTCAAACTTCCTAAAGTCATATGATTAATCTTTTGATAACAACAGAATCCAAGCACAAACTGTTATGCTTGTTCCAAAGAAGAGAACAGAACGATTTAGGCGTCGACGAGCAGGAATATGACCCTAACAATTTAACTATAGTCTAAATATTTTGGCACTTGAAATCACTCCTACTGGAAAATCAGAGAACCAAACAGAAAACCATGAGAATATGCATCACTGATTCAGACTCATTCAAACAATCCTAAAGCCGGACAAATCGTCCATTTCAACTCGAGAAAATCTTAACCCAAGAGATACTTCAACACCATAAACAACTAAAAACATTTGAGGCATAGAAAACGACAGTTCAAATTAGCTTTTGCTAACTGAACATGCTCAAGCAAATCCGAACAGTGAATACAGGATTCAAACAACAAAATGACATGTCAAATATCATTTCCAAACGCGAATCGAGACTAAATGCTAACTCCGAATTCAACCTCTACTGAAATTAATCACAGACCGATGTCTATAGATGGATTAGCATAGCTCTTATCACATTTTCCAATCGACAGCCAAACAGATATAAGAAAAGAGAAAGATATTGAACCTGATTGCGCGAAGCTTCGATTAATTTCGTTTGGAATCCAATACAAATGAATTCGGCCTTGAAATTAGGAGTAACAACAGCTGAGAAATAGAAACTAGCAGCCACGAACAAGACCTCGATCGGCGACTCGTCGACTCCACGGCAAACTTTAATCAAGCTCCATAGTTGAATTCCGAATCCGAAATTGAGAATGAAGAGTCAGAAAGTTTTTATATATCCTTTTCCAAAAACTGAAACTGCCCTCAAAATCTAAATAGAAAACTTGAAAATAAGAAATTAAAACTGGAATTTTGTATTTTTTTTTTGATGTATGAACTAAAAACGAAAACCAGAAGAAGAAAATCAAAACCCAGAAGATGAAGACGTGAGGCCGATCCTTTTGTTCTTGCGGCGCTCCTCCTGTATTAGGTCTAGGGTCTACTTTGTTATTATGATTCTAGGTTAGATTAAGAAGAAGGGGGCCGGGATCTAGGGTTCGGGTCGACCCGGTTTGGNGGGGAGGGGGGAATTAGGGCTTCTAAAATGGTTTGGCCCAATTCAATTTAAAACCAGCTTTTTTTTTTAATTTCCTTTTCTTTTGTTTTCTTTTCTTTCTTTAATTAATTAAAAACCTAAATTAAATTCCTAAATCAAATTGTAAATTAAGCTAATTATCTAACTATAATATTTATAAAAATTAGTTGATCCTAAATTTAAAGAGAAAATTTAATAATCCAAAATTAAAAGCTAAGAATGTAAAAATGAGCCATTTTTGTAATTTTTATTTTTAATAAATTAATTAATTAATCCTAAAATGTAAACACAAAATCTAAATGCAATGCATGGTATTTTTGGTATTTTTTCATGATTTTAATAAAAGTAAACATGCAAAGAAATGCAAACAATTACAAAAATCCTACAAAATCCTATAAATTGCAAACAATTGGGGAAAAATCTATTTCTTTAATTTGTAGGAGTATTTCACATAGGGCAAAAATCACGTGCTCACAGCTGCCCCTCTTTGCTCGGAAACACGAAGAATTTTCGTGCAAAAATAAAGTGAGCGGATACGAGCAATTTTTGCCCGTTTGAATACTCCGTGGAAGCATTTTTGAAAGATTTGACCGAACATTGCTTCCGAGGTTGCCTACATATCCTTGGCTATAAAGGAATCAGGTTAGTATAGTTCGGGAGTAGGAACAGTGATGGAGTATACTGAGGTGGAGAGCCGGTCGAGGTTCCGGTCCGCGGTCCTGTTATTACATCAAAATCAAAAAATGAAAAAGACTAACTAAGCCTGTCAACTATGAGTTACAAGATTCTTATCTATAAGTCTTCTGAAGCTTGATCTTGAGTCTTGAATGGTTCTTCATACAGACATTAGATTTGAACCTTGACGTTTGGTAGCTGCAGGTGCTAGCTCGTTCTTCTTTAGCTTTTCGGATCAAGATCGGACATATAGTTCTTGTGACTCAGCCATGCCTTGAGTAGCTCACATCTTTCTCTACTTCTGCATTTGGATTCACTTCTTGCCTTTCTCTTTTTTTTATACTGGGTTGTGACTAACTTTCGTTGATCAACTAGGACTGTTGACTCACATTCTTGCTGCGAGTTTCTTTTGTTACTGGCTTGAATTGCATTCTGAAGTGAATTCTCTTATTCTCCAGGTAGCGCCTAATTGCCAACATTTGAACTGTATTCTCTTGTTCTCCAGGGGGCGCCTGATTACCAAAACTTGAATTGTATTCCCTTTGTTACCTTAAATTGTTTTCCCTTGAAACCTGTGATGTCTTCCTTTGAAACTTGAACTGATTTCCTTGTTCTCCAAGTGGGTGTCTGATTGCTGAAACTTGAACTGTATTCCCTTGCTCTCCGAGTGGGCGCCTGATTTCCAAGACTTGAACTGTATTCCTTTGCTCTCCAGGTAGGTGCCTGATTGCCGAAACTTGAACTGTATTCCCTTGCTTTCCAGGTGGGCGCCTGATTACCAAAACTTTAACTGTATTCCCTTGCTCTCCAGGTGGGTGCCTGATTGCCAAAACTTGAATTGTATTCCCTTGCTCTCTAGGTGGGCGCCTGATTACCAAAACTTTAACTGTATTCCCTTGCTCTCCAGGTGGGTGCCTGATTGCCAAAACTTGAATTGTATTCCCTTGCTCTCTAGGTGGGCGCCTGATTACCAAAACTTTAACTGTATTCCCTTGACTCAGTTTCCCTTTGTTCTCCAGGTGAACTCCTGATTGCTGAACTTGAACCGTCTTCCCTTGAACATTGCTGCTTTCCCTTTGTTCTCGAGGTGGGCTCCTGATTTCCAACACTTGTACTGCTTTTCTCTTGACTTGAACTGCTTCCCTTTGTTCTCCAGGTGGGCTCCTGATTACCAACACTTGAATTGGTTTCCCTTTGTTCTCCAGGTGGGCTCCTGATTACCAACACTTGAATTGGTTTCCCTTTGTTCTCCAGGTGGGCTCCTGATTACCAACATTTACACTGTTTTTCCTCGAAACTTGAACTACTTCCCTTTGTTCTCTAGGTGGGCTCCTGATTACTAACACTTGAATTGATTTCCCTTTGTTCTCTAGGTGGGCTCCTGATTCCCAATATTTACACTATTTTTCCTCGAAACTTGAACTGCTTCCCTTTGTTCTCTAGGTGGGCTCCTGATTACCAACACTTGAATTGCTTTCCCTTTGTTCTCCAGGTGGGCTCCTGATTACCAACACTTGAATTGCTTTCCCTTTGTTCTCCAGGTGGGCTCCTGATTACCAACACTTGAATTGCTCTCCCTTGAGACTGCTTTTTCCTTGGAACTGTCTTCCCTTGTTTCTCCAGGTGGGTGCCTGATTGCAATAAAATAGACAAAACAAAAGAAATTTTTCTGCCCCAATTTGATGTTGGGAGCATCTGTGAGTGTTAACCATTTCTTGTTATCAAAATAAATTCTAAGCTAAATTTCCTTATCCTGAAAATTTCAAACCAAGTCTCGTCTCAAAAGTGAAAAACTTTAAATGTTGAATCATACTTTCCAAAAGTAGAACTTACACTAAATCTTGTTATCTATGAAGGTCTTGAAATTTAACTAGATCTCATTATCCAGGAGGGTCCTGAAAATTAAATCTTATCTTAAGAGTGAAAACTTGAAAGCTAAATCTTATTTCCTAACGGTAAAACTTACGCTAAATCTCATTATCTATGAGGGGCCTAAAACTTAAAATTAAATCTCATTATTCAGGAAGGGCCTGACAACTTAAAATTACATCTCATTATCCAGGAGGGTCCTGAACACTTAAAACTAAATCCCATTATCCAGGAGGGTCCTGAACACTTAAAACTAAATCCCATTATCCAGAAGGGTCCTAAAAATTAAATCAAATATCATCTTAAGAGTGACAACTTTAAAGCTAAACTCAACTTCCTAAAGCTGAAACTTATGCTAAATCTCATCATCTAATGGAGGTTTCAAAACTAAGTCTCATTATTCAGGAGGGTCATGAAAATTTCAAATTGAATCTCATCCTAAGAAAGAAAACTTCAAAGCCAACTTATATTTCCTCAAGGTAGAGCTTATGCTAGATCTTGTTATTCATGAATGTTTTGAATTTTAACTAGGTCCCATTGTCTATGAGGGTCCTGAGAACTTCAAATTAAATCTCATTATCTATGAGGGTCCTGAAAAGCCAAGAATGAACTTACCTCAGCCATGCTCTCTTCCTGGAGGATCTCTGCAGAACAAACAAAATTCATTGCCACTAAGCCATGCTTTTCTCATGGAGGGTTCTTGCAGAACAAAAAAAAATTCCTGCCCCGGTTTTAATTAAAGAAAACTTATGAGTTTAAACATGGTGGTTGGTTTGCGGCCTTGACTTTGAGGGCGAGTGCTCCTTCACTTCCCATGATAACTACGATTTCAACTCGAAAGACCTTGCATGTTTATTGACTGACCACTTTCTCTGTCACCCTTATCACGGAGAATACTGTAAGCACGTGATTTTTGACCCTCCCCGAGGATTTTCACATTTTTTAGCATAAATATGTAATTGGGTCTAATATAGTCATTTTAACTATTTTACTTTATTTCGTTGCAAAAAGAAAAATCACAAAAATATATATATAAATTTTAGTTTATGTATTTCTCATAAACTTGAAAAATAAAAAAAAAATTGTACTTTATTTTGGTACTTTATATAAATTCGAAAATTACAAAAAATATAATTCTATTAATGTTTTGTAGTCGTTTTAATTTTGGAAAAATACAAAAATATTACTTTATATTTTGTCTTTATTAAAAAACCAAAATTACAAAAATAGTTTTATTAATATTTTATAGTCATTTTAACTTTGAAAAATACAAAAATATTACTTCATATTTTATCTTAATATTTATGAAAATTACAAAAAATAGTTTTATTAATATTTTGTAGCTATTTTAAATCTTGAAAAATATTTTAAAAAAAGATATAGTTTTGTTAAATACTAGTCTTATTTTTGGTAGTTATTTTGCTTACATAGGGCTAGTTAAGCAACGTATTCCTATTTCTCGGGTCCGGGCAAAAGAATAATATTTGGGTTCAAATCACCCGCTTTTAGGCCTAATTTCGGACCTAGCCCATAATAATCCGAGTCCACC